ATGTTCGCTGATTCGCATTGTACTGCCGTCGTTTGTCCTTAATACGACGTTCAGGTTAATGCAGCTCTCGAGACGTCCTCCATCGTTTCGGGCGAATACAAGCTGAACTTTCGTTCGTCATGTGACAAGCATCGTCAGAGCTGGGAGTCATTCTTGTAAAAGCCTCAAGCTAACATTAGGTCAAGAAGAACCCCATATTATTAGAATAAATTTAAGAAAATTTGTCAAAATTACCACTTGAACTTATTAACTTAATACTTTTTGACCAACGTCAGTAAAGATTTAGTCATTCTTAATCTTGAGAAATTGAAAAAAAAATCAAAAATGTATGGCAGGTTAAAGAGTATTATTTGTTATTAAATAACGCCTATTTTATTTAACCTCTATTTAAAATTTATTGAACTAAAATCAAACTGAAGTAACTATACTGCATTGAATGTAGATAGCTAAATAAGAATATATTTAAAATGTGTTTTCAGCGAAAATTTTATTATATAAAAATGAAATCGAACAAAAAATTCAAGAGTAAAAATATGAAATCCTTGGAAATTTTTTATTACTGCAGAGCTCCTCCGAATATTTGTAAACCTTGTGAAAGCGTCTTGGATGCATATTAATGTTTTTTAGCCTGAGCAATGCAAACAATCTTATTATATAAAAGTTCCACTTTGGTGGCTTTGAAGTAAATATACATTAGGCTCTGACAATAGAGAAGTATTTTAAAGGATTTATTAGTAGGTAGCTTTAGAATAGAGAAGAGTAACATAAAACTCTGATATAGATTACTTAGTAGAAGGGTACATTTTTATTTTAATACATGCCTGCTTACTGTCTAACGTGTCTATCCATTTCTCTCTTAGGAAAAGACTAATTTAGTTAAAGTCTGCCGTAATAGGATAAGCATGAGAAAAGTCTGTACGGCAAAAGAATTAGCATAACACTCTACTTGATTTGTTGCAAAATTTAAGCAAGACGAAATATGCTATACAAGGCGGCAGCTAAGAGCTTGCAACTGTAATAAGAAGACAATACAATACTTACAAGAAGCAACAGGTCTGCACATATGATGACTTATGAAAACCCATTATCTTACCTCCAATAAGTGATCTATTAAGCCGATTCCGAACTCCCAAACTCCCGAAATCGGAATTAATGCAGTACCCATACACATTCTATCAGGACCATATGAATTCTGGTAATGTCGTTTTCGTAATTTTCTCATCCTTTATTATTAAGTGTGTACCTACTCTTTTATTTAATTCACATTATTATATTTGTTTTGCAGGTAAAAATCGCTCAAAGTCACACGTTTGATAAATTCGTAATGTTATTATATTTTATTGTATTAAAATACATAACCTCAATATAAAAATATTATATAATATGTTTATAGAATTATTTTTTTAATCTTTACATAGAGTGTCACTACTTCTTGTATTAAGCTAAACTTAATTTTTCAGAGTAGGCGCCTTTTCCCACTTTTCTTTTTAGCTAACCCTCTGTATTCTCCAAGCATGCGCGGGAATCAAGGGATGGAACAGCTGATTCCTGTTGTAAATAAACTACAAGATGCTTTTTCATCCTTGGGAATACCACTTGGACTTGATCTTCCTCAGATTGCTGTGGTAGGCAGCCAAAGTGCCGGAAAAAGTTCTGTTTTAGAAAATTTTGTTGGAAGGTATATTGATTACTTTGTTCAACTCAAGGGATTTTCTGCCTCGTGGATCTGGTATTGTTACTCGCCGTCCTTTGATTCTACAGCTATTTAATTCCATAACTGGTAAATTGTATTATCTTATTTTGCTTTTAGAATATGCTGAGTTCCTTCACTGCAAGAATAAGAAATTCACTGATTTCGAGGAAGTCAGAAAAGAAATTGAGGCAGAAACGGATAGAGTTACAGGATCAAATAAAGGAATATCTAACATTCCTATAAATTTACGTGTATATTCCCCGCATGGTACCTACTGATTGACGATCTTACTTTTTAGTTTTAAATCTTACTCTTATCGATCTTCCGGGTATAACAAAAGTCCCAGTCGGAGATCAACCTCCAGATATTGAGCATCTGGTTCGTTGTATGATCCTGGACTTTATTGAGCAGGATAATTGCCTCATACTCGCAGTTTCCCCTGCTAATAGTGATCTGGCTAATTCAGACGCCTTAAAGTTAGCAAAAGAAGTTGATCCACAAGGATTACGTACGATAGGTGTGATAACAAAATTGGATCTTATGGATGAAGGCACCGATGCTAGGGAAATCCTGGAGAACAGGCTTCTTCCATTACGTCGAGGTAGTTTAAATTTAATAACTTTTCCTCCCTAGTTATTCTGTTG